ATATATGGCAAGGTCTTATAATATAGTAAGACAAGATCTTGCTAGGTGACTAAGTTGCTCTGGCTGGGCTCAAAATTGCAATCATGATGCTTCAGTCTCCCAGAGTGCAGGAATTGCTGGTATAGGCCGCCATATCTGGCTAGGATTTTTCTGTTCCGAGGATCTGGAACTGGAAGAGACATCAGAAATAAATTTTTCAAACTTCCTTAATTGCTAATTTAAGAGCTAAGGATATGGAGGTTTATGGAGGTAAAGTGTATTGCCTCTCCAGCTGTGATAAAACCCCAGGACCTTGGGACAGGCCCTGGTCCAGTGTTTGGAGCAGGGTTGTGGGATTTTATAGACGGGTCTGTGGGCCCGTGGATGACCAAAATCCTGCAGCAAAATCTGAGAAGCTGCAACATTTGGACATCCAGAGTGAGGCAAAGGGTAGAACCACTTGCTTCTTTCCAAAGTCATGTGAGCCCAGACACTCAAAAAACCCAGAAAATGTGCGAGTGGACTTTATGCTGCCCCAGGCCATATAAGCCACAACTCTCTATGTACCCAAGTGCTACAGTGGAGAGGAATCTGAGAAAGGCAGGCCTCTGTGACAACAAGAATTTACTTGAGTCCATCAAGTAGAAAACTGAATTAACGAAAGACAGATAATGACTGGTTGGGCCTGAGAGTGTCACACTTGGTCTGAGAGTGCCTAATTCAGAGGCTATCTGTTCACCAGCCCCACACTTCTTTCTAACAGAGCAGTAATCCTGCAGAAAACCTAAGCAGCTGTAAAGAAACACAGAAGAATGTAAGCTAGTACAACCACTGTGGAAATCATTATGGAAATTCCCAAAACACGGAGACTAGAAAGTGTATTTGACCTGGCTATTCCCCTTCTAGGTATCATCCCCAAAGAAAAATAAACTTGAGTAATTTGTAGAAGAATGAGTACACCTTGAACCCATAATACCAAGTGAAAATAAAATCAAATGAACAAGCTTAAATGTCTCATGGTTTCGCTTGTATGAGAAATCTAAAATATAAATAAAGACCAAAATAAAAGGTAGATAATAGGGTGGTAGGGAAATGGAACTACCTCAAATGGGACGAGGAGCAAGAGGTGGAGGGAGAGAAGAGGAAGGGGAGGAAAAGGGATGAAAAAAGAATTAGATGTGTTACATACCTGTAGTAACTCCGCACAAGGACTGCGATCAGTATGCTTTGCAAACAGATACTAATAAAGAATGAACTGGGCTGGGAATTTAGCTCAGTGGTTCCGCTGCCTGCCTCACAAGTGCAAGGTCCTGAGTTTGATCCCTGGTACAAAAAACAAAACAAAACAAAAACAACCTATAAGATAATTTGAGACTGCATTATAAATATTTTTAGATTAAAACATAACTATCATTCTAACACTCAGCAAGGACCTATGGCTAACAGTTTTGTCTCTTTCTACCCCCATTATCCCTTCCGTTTCTTCTCCTTTCTCCTCCCTTTCCTTCCTTCCCCTCCCCGTCTCCTGCCCTCCCTCCCTCCCTCTCTTCTTCCCGTCTTTCCTTCCTTCCTTCGCTTCTACCACAAAGAGATATATCATTGGCTGGTGTGTTTCCTGGAGCAGAAGCGATGATTGTCCTTGGTCCTCTGGAGTGAACCTGAACTCGGAGCACCCCAGGGAATGTCTGCTTTATCTTGGTAAATGGATTTCAGCCCGTTCTCTGGTTGGATGGGTTTTCTTTGCTTCTCAACAGAAGTGAGACATAAAGGGATCACCCATACTCACGAGCGTTGTACTTCCAGCCCCTGCTTCTGTCAGTTGACATCATACTGCACACAGTTTATAAAAATATAGTGTTTCACTTAATATTATGTTTGGCTATTTCTTATGCTACCAAATATCCTTTAAGAATATTTCATAGAATATTTAATCAATCTGCTATAACAGCCATTTAGGCATTTTCTTATTTTTACATTCTTAGGCATATTTTTATACATCAATCTTGGTCCATAACTAGGACTATTTCTGTGTGATAAACTCCCACATGCTGAGAAGGAAAATTCTCCTGTTTAAAGACACACAGGTTTTATCTTCATACATTCTGCCAAATGTCTTTCTGGAACAAAGTAATTCATGTTCCCACACTGCCAGCAGAATAGGGAGTTCATCTCATTGAAAATCCTTTAGTTTTTTACTTTTGATACTTGAAAAAATGGTATCTCATTTTTGTTTCAACTTATCTTTTTGAATAACTTTAAATAGTATAATATTAATTCATATCTGTTTCATTTTTGAATCCAGTTTATTCCCACTCTAATTTTACTTGTAATTATTTCCACAAAAAGATATCTTTGTCTGCTGGGACAATTCACACAACTGGACACATTACCCATTGCTTAACATTAGCAGGAGGTTCTTTCTGAATGTTAGTCTCCTGTGCAATTTCTGCATCTTTCCTTCATGAGTTTCCTTGTTGTTTATATTATTAGAGAGCCATGCCTTATCTGAATATCAATTACATAGCCACATAAATAGATATCAATATATTATATATCAATATATATTTCAGTCTTTTAAAAGGTACTGTTGCTTCAATACAAAAAATTATTTTTGAATGTCCTTCTTCTGCCTCAGTCTTTGTGCTAAGCTTTGATGAGATTATTTATTTGACATTCAGACTCATCCTATAAGATGGATAGCCTTGTATTCCTTTATTTAAATAGGATGGCTCTGAGATTGAGAGTTGTTGGTAATGTGCCCAGAGCACAAGCCAAAGATTTAATTCATGCCCCTTTGAGTATCAACAGTGCTTATTCTTAGTAAGCCAACGTTTGGTTCATCAGTTCTCTTGAAACGTACTTTATCTAATAAATATCTTGCTATAAATTTTTGTGTTACAACATTCTGGAAACTCATTCCAAAGGGATATTGCTGCCTTTTAAAACTATACTTTAATGGTCATAGAGAAAGCAGGATGAGCTCTTGAAATATTGTTGCTGGCAGAAAATTGGGTTTATTCTCATAAGCAAGGATACTGATTGACAGTTGAGGGAAGAACTTCAGGTTGTTCAACTAAATTAGCAATGACGCAAAGCAAATAATAGATATCCAATATTTTGAGAGAATTTTGATGCCTTTATAGTTGCAGTCTTTCAATCAAGCTTTCATGCACTCATTCCACAATCATTTAGCATTTACCTAATATGTGCCAGTAGCCACAGTAGGTGCCAACAGCACAGGAAGGATGCTATGGACAAAACCTCAGTCTCCACAGAGGCCAAATCTTATGTGTGTGGATGGGTGAAGGAAAGAGAACATAAACAAGCGGGGAGAGGTATAACATAATCTCAGGTATTGATAAGCACCATGCTGTCTTCTTTGTGAGCTTCTCCTTATAATGATTTCCTTCTGCAAGTATATTTGTAAGCATGGGACGGTCTGGTGTTGGGCTTCAAGTGCATCTGTTCAAGTGAAAAGAGAGAACAAGCAAAGGTCAAATAAATCAATAGGGAAGCATGTTTTTTACTGTCAAAAGAACCCAAAGATTTGAAACAAACCTACAACAATAAAAGAAGCCAACTGAAAGTTGACCTTACTATAAAAAGTAGGTCCAGCTAAACACAAATTACATATTACTGCTTTCAGAACAGGATAGTTAAAATACTACTTTTATTTTCATAGGGAAAAGATATATAATATAAAATTTACCATTGTAACCACTTCTGAGTGTACAGGTAAGTGACATTGAATACATTTACATTGTTATGCAACCATGACTACCATCAGTCTTCACAACTTTTTATTGTCCTGGACTGAAACCCAGTAACCATAACACAGTAACTCTCCATTTCCACACCCCACTGGTCCCTGACAACCACCATTCTACTCTGAGTCTCTATGAGTTTTCTTTATATATGTGAGATTATAAACATTTGAGATATTATTTAAAAAATTAACCTGCTTTACACAGGAATCAAATAGTAAGTTACCAGCACAAGTAATTCTGTTCTGATTATTTTTTGTTGTTTAAATGCATTTTGCCTACCCTATCAGATTTTGTTTTTTTTTGAGATAGGGTCTTGCTGTGCAGCTCAGTAGGCCTGAACTTGTTAGGTAGCCCAGGTTGGCCTCATACTCACAGAAATCTTCCTGCTTCAGCCTACTGAATGCTGGGATTACAGGCATGTACTACCACACCTGGCTTTGCTTAGTAGATTTTTTGGTAGTTTAGTGAAGGAAGCAATTTTAGGGAATTTCAAACTAAATAAATCACTATGGCTTCCTATGTCACCCAGAGCTTCTAAGTGGATTAAAGAAGGTAAGTTTCAGAAATAAGAGCTAGTCAACGGCTTGTATGATATTGATTTCCTATTAGAGCTATAAGTTTATAAGAACTGTAAATCTTACATACATTGCAAGGCTTTAGGATGGTGTTTTGGAAACAAAGGAAACAATTTCCTTGTGTTCAATGTTACTTTCTTTCCTAAAATATCATCCAAAATGGTTTTGATTAATCATAACACACACATTTTAAAATGGGCCAAAGTTGATTACAGCTGCACCATTTGATTTAAACAAAACCCAGATTGTGGGGATTACTCCAACAAATGCATTAGCAGCATTACTTTCATTTTCTGTCTCTGTGTTAATTGAGTAGACAGACATTTCCTTTGCAGCAAACAAATATTGATGAAACATCTTTAGTTGCTCTGTCACCCATTAAATTGATGGTGGGCAGGCCTTCAGGCCTATACATTTAATCTATATTTGGCAAAGCCACACATTTAAAATCTTGACTTTTACCATTTTACAAGTCTTAGATATATTTTAACTCTAGACCAAAAATTTTGTACTTTGTGTGATTCATGCATACTTGAAAAGGCTGAGTAAATGGTGTTAGATGCTTTCAATTCTTCTAATTGAATTAACTTTGGAAATGTTCCTGTCTGTTCTCAAGTTATAGTAAATGAACTTTGTATACACTGTGCAGATTTAAAAACCAGTGAGATTTGTATCTGTGTTCCAGGGGGCTGAGTATTGTATCAAGTTAAATGAACAAGCATTGGGAGACTCATCTAGAGAATGGTGAACAAGGGAAGAAAAAAATAAGAAGATAGGAAAAGGACCTAATTTTAAAAATAAGCTGTTTCTGTTATGCTTTTAAATGGAAATATTAAATTAAATCTGGAGCTGAGAAAATAAATATACCTGTGTGTTACTCATGGGCTCATGGTACCCTGATCTTATTTATGTGATCTGTATCTCTATTAGAGACTTACTACACATAGTTATTTTATTATATATGTATTTGGGGCTATTAATGTTGGTAGTGATGATGATGATAATGGCAACATAAGTTTTACTAAGGAAGTAATGGACAGAAAGTAGGGCAAGAAAAAAGGAAGAAAGATGGACATGGTGAAAAGCAGGGGGCAGACTAGTAGCAGTGCATACTGACCAGATCATGCCACTCAGCTCTGCTATCACTAACCACAGCCTGGAAAACATTCATGTTTTTGTTTTAAAATAGAGAAAAACTTGGAAACAGCTCATTTGCCCATCAGTTGGAGACTGAATAGAGATGTGGTTTTTCTATAAAATGGAATCTTACTCAGCCATAAAGAATGAGAAATTAGAGTCATTCATAGGAAAATGGATACCTATTGAGGATATACTCCTAAGTGAAATAAATAAGTCACACACGTATAAATACCAAATAGTTTCTCTGGTGTGAAAAATGATAATGGTACATAAGATCCTAATGATATAATTGACAATGTGAAATAGGAAGAAAAGGGCTAAAGGTGTAGGGGAAGTGGGAAGGGTAGGGAAAGGAAGTAAGGGAAAAGAAAAAATGATAATATGAAGAAATGGAAATAAAGTATTTGTAAATAGCGAAGGGAAGAGGGGTTGAAGGGAGGGCAGAGATAAGGGGAAAAAATGAGAACCAAGACCTGTCATGTAAAGGTACAAGATCCCAAAGATAAATGTAACTGTACTGTATACCTAAATGTACCAATAAACTCAATGAGAAAAATAAATAAATAAAATAGAGAAAAAAAGTCTCATTTTAATTGCCATAACCTGTACTGACAGTGAGTTTAATAATGCACAAGAGCTAGACTCAGATTTTTTTTCCATCAGTTGTATTCATAAAAATGTCTTGGTATACAAGTAGTTCAGATAATAGCATTCAATAAGAAAGTAGCCCACCTCAGGTTTCCAACTGATTGATTATTTTATAAGATTACTTTTTATCCTGTATTCTAGAAAGAGCAAAGCAGTGTCATGTACCTTGTAAAGACAGGAGAAGAGAATAGTAATTCATAATATTGAGCAAATACATATCATCAAGACCTCTTTCATTTGGGCTTGAGCTAATAACAGCAGCCTAAGGGAGGAGCGGGGGCAAGAAACAGAAGCATCCACCACAGTGCAAGGCCAGCAGAATCGATCCGCACCCCCATGACCCAAGCAGTCCACTTTGGACACCAACACAGACACAGTTATTATTTATTGCTTTCCTTGGCTAGGAGAGCGGAGTGGCTTTCACTGAAACCACAGAACATCCTCTGCAAGGGAATTAAAAAATTGTCGCTGAGTTTTTGTCATAAAAAGAATGTTTATTTAGGCTAGGTGTAGTGGCACACACTTGCAATCTCAGCACTTTGGGAGGTTGAGGCAGGATCGCAGTTTTGAGCCCAGCCTAGGCAACTCAGCGACTTAATGAGACCCTGTTTCAAGATAAAAGGGAAAAATAGGGTTGAGGATGTGCCTCAGTGAGAAGATCCTAGATTCAACCTACTAGTACTGAAAAAACAAAAAAGGTAAGAGGGAGGTATAAGTGAATTTATCCATTATTTAGAATTTTTATTTACTTGACTAGTGAAATAACTAAATAATTAATATTCTTTTTCCCATAAGAGCCAATACTGAACTGGATGTTTTTGGGGAAAGTCATGCCTAACTGTTTTCATTTTATACAGTCTAAGTCCAAAGGTAACACATAACAAAGTGGGAGAGGAAAGCATATGTCCTCACTCCGGCTTCAGTAAGTACACAATATTTAAAATTTCCCATGTCTGGCAAATTGCTAGTTAAAAATTCCAGAGGAAGGTTTAGGCAAGAATTCCATAGTCAAACTATCACAGTAGTTCAGCAAAGCATATCATCAGTTATTTTTAATGATTTAATATATTGTCTCTGTTTAAAAATTGCAGTATTTCACTAGCAAATAATTTCAGAGACCACATCTGAAGAGGGAAATACAAAGCTATTACTTGGCTACCTGGAAAGTCAAGGTGTTGTTCCTGGGGGGCTTCCTATTTAGGTGAGGGCTGATGTGGACGGTGTCAGGGCTCCTTCCTGGCACTGTTCACTGGATACTGATTTATGGCATCAACAGCGCCGTTATATGCTCACTAGTATATAAACCATATCACAGGGGTTGTTGACCACGGTGGCCAGTAGAAATTGCAAAACTGCAGCAAGCCAGCTGACTCTGTATATGTCAAGACTGAGCTACACTAGCATGATGGCTTCTTCTAGATGAGTTAGTACAAGGTGGCTAGCATATGCAGTTGTGTGTGGCATTTGGTTAAACATGACCACAATTGCAGCTAAGGTATTTAGGGCTAAATCAAAGGTCTGGTAACAGAAATGAGCTAGTGCAGACATCATAGTACTCATTTGCATCACGGAGTGGGATGTTATCAGTGCGTTCAAAGTCCCATCTAGCTTGGACTAGATTCCTCGACATTTCTAGAGTACCAAGCACCACGGTTGATTCCACGGGCATCCATGGTGAATGGCAGATGCTGAGCAGGACGGTGCCTGTGTGGCAGGCTGCCCCAGCTGCAGCTGTCAGCATCGCACTGCATGAAGAAGGCACCTCAGCCCCAGATCTCCCAGCTGCAGCATTATGTTTGCAGAGAGTCTGAGGCACCATTTTGTTCTCGTCCTTCACCAATCCCAGGACACAATCCCAGGAACTCTTGGGCCTTTCTGAGACCTCCCTTCACACAGGTAGTGATTTTGCCTTCACTCTCCCATTTCTGCTTTCTCCACTTTGTCCTCAGTTTATGTGTCACTTCCTTTCTTGCCATCCCTCATCTAAAGTAGGTTAACAGTTATTAGTTTTTTTCTCTATCTTGGTCCCTTCTCGGTTTCTTTCTTCACATTATATGCTGTATTTTACTCATTTAGGCATCATTCTGCCTAGTGCCTTCCCTTTATAAGCAAGGATATTAACCACTAGAGAATCAGTGGAAGTGCTGGAGGTTGCTGAGGTCGGTTAACTGTGGTGCCCTGAGCTAAGTCTACAGCATATGAAAGTGTGGGAACATGTGTGAATGCATTGGCTTGCAAGTAAATTCAACTACTAAGTAACAGAGCAAATGCACAAAGCAAAGGAAGGAATGGAACGTTTATTTCTCTTCAGTTTTCTTCAGGCCTCTGGCAG